GATTGCTTCTGAAGGGACTATAGTATAATATTTGGTATAAATATAAATTATACCAAATATTTTTATATATAATTATAATTATTATATAATTATAGTATAATTCTGCACTATCTGGCGGTTCGATAAACAAAAGTTTATTTATAACACTACATCGGGGAAGTTCGGGGTCTATATATAGACGGTTGCACAATTAAATGTGAATAATTTCGCAGAAAAAATAACCAAAAACAAAGCCAGTGCTCGGAACACCTTGGCGAGCTTATCTTATCACTTGTGCTCCAACATGTTGACATTTATTTGGCTGGATATTTGCGATTCGGCGGAGCAGAGGAAGGGAGCACAGAATACTTTTATGGAATTGCGTCGGAAAGCTCATGGCGATAAGATTAGATTCGTTGTGGGTTAAATCAACACTAGATATTCGCGAATGTCAACGTCTCAACCGAAGCTTGCGTTTCTGTATGGAGCAGATCCACTTGAGCAAATATCTAGATCGCCTAGACAAATTTGCAGAGATCTTTCTTAGGAATTCGAAAAATTCTTAGTTGTTTTGATAAAGCTTAAATGGGGATTGCGAAAGAATTCAAAGAAAGTAGGGAGTTAACACGTTTTTTAAAAGAAATAAGGCTTAAGTTATTAAGGAGCATAAACACGAAATTTATCTTGGGGGCACTCTTCGTTTAAGATTCAGTACGCCTATTCAAATATATCTGACACACTTCAGATCTTGAGAGCCATAAAATATGAATCATTTTACAACCCTCCCGATAACATTGGGGCCATGTCAATTCCCTCTTAATGCTACAGCTCATTCAAAATTGTAATTGGTCCATAAAAATGTTTTTCAAAGGCTTTTTCCAAAATGCATATATGTTCAGATTACTCCACCATATAGGCGCTTGTATCTTCCAATTTGTTAATGATCCAAATTACTTGATGGCTGTTGAAATTAGTCAGATAAATCTTTTTCCTCTAGCTTTCTTCTTTAGCTTTGCGTAAATCAAAAATTTATGTTTAGTTTTTCAAAAGTTTATGGATCGAATATGTTTTTTCTTTCTGATCTGATTTATAAGGTCAACGTGTGTAGACCAAAATAAATTTAGATTTCAAGCAGAAAAAGACTCGAAAAGATCCAACACTGTGACCAAAACGTGGGCGACCCCAACACCCAAAAAGATTCCGTTGAACATCCCAACAGATCTTGAGATCATAAACGACTCCATCTGACATATTTGGTTTAATAGGTCAGAAATAAAATGTTAGTTGTTGGACCTATGAGGGCAGCATTCAAGGTACTCTACTGTCGAAGCTTAACAATATCTGGGGATTAAGATCATCCAACAGATATTACTTATTCATATTTTCCTCAGTGAGGATATCAAAGTTAAAATTTATACGATATAGTCTTTTGATGTGATATAGAAAAAAAAGCTCAAAGCCTTTAGGATACGCATTTGAGGTGTATCTTTCTCTCAAGATACAAATTTTCTTTCCCACATCACGGATGCAGCGTCTGTGTCATAAATCTTTGGCCGCGGCGTTCCTCTGCTCCGTTTTTCTACAATTTAAGAGCAATTTATTAAATGCCGCAACGCTTTAATCTGCACTGGAAAATCTGGGGCCCCAAACTGCATAAATTAATTCTGTTTAAAGAAGTGGGAAAAAAAAAATGTGCGACGAGAATGCGTGACATATATTTTTTTTTGAAGACACAGAGATACGGATATTTTTCACATGCACTAAAATTGCAGAGTCTGTTTGTGGCAGCAGACGTATCTTAAATCTAGGTGGCTGACAGCGCTGATTAGCTAGAGGGAAACACTACCATGTGGCAGCTGAGCTAAATGATCTCTGACACCATCGATTCCCAAGCTCCCAGGGCAAACCATGGAAATTCCCTGGATTTCCTGAAGAGTGTACTATGGTATTCCCTGCTGCGTATTTTCAGTTAACGGCTAACTGAAATTCCTAAGTGCCTGTCGATACTTTTGTTATTTTTGGTTGTATCCCGAAGATATTTCAGCTGCCCCCACGTTGCATGAACGTTTTGTTTGACAAAGAACTGACAAAAAATAAAACTGGAAGAATAAAAACCGCCGCAGGTAAACACAGAAAAGAATAAGAGCTTCCAACACGTACAAATAAATTATTCATTTTTCTCTGACTAGTTTTTTTCAACTTTCTTCGTTGTTTATTCTCCTCTGGTACTGGCTTTTAATGTAATTTTACTTATAGGGGAAAACCCCATCCGGAAAAATGGACAAAAAATCTAACCAATATTTTGTCTCAGGATTTTAATGCAGAATGGTGGGAAATCGATCTGGAAATCGCTTAAGGTACTCCGCTTGAGAATAGGATGGGAATTTGGGAAGATATAGCCTTCGCTGTGGAGGATATAGGGGAAAATCTCATTTTCAAGGAATCCCATCACGAAAAATAGACAAAATATCGAAAAAATATTTTGTCTCAGGATTTTAATGCAGAATGGTGGAGAATCGATCCACAAAGCGTTTAAGGTACTCCGTTTGAAAATCAGGATTGGGGAAGATATAGCCATCGCCGTGGGCCATATAGAGGAAAATCACATTTTCAAGGGATCCCATCACGAAAAATGGAATTTCATAGCCAATGTCATAGGCGCCATCAGAACTCATAACTTGAATGGATTGGCGCCAAAGCGCTGCAATTTGAATTGGTAGCTAGCCCCCAACACCGGCTCCCCAACTCTTAGGTCCTGAAGAATAGGAAAGGTTGATTAACCCCTGGAGATGTTGCGGAGCAAAACAAAAACAAGCGAGATGAAAGGACGCGCCAAGAAGGTCAACAGAGAGTTGAGAGTTGGTGGCCCGCTCTCAGATAAATTCAGCACAGTGCTGACAAGGTACAACTCTGAGATGGAAGCCTTGGAGTGGTGGCGAAGGAAGCACTTGGATGACGAAACAACCCCAAGCAAGGTTCAATTGCGGACAAGTACGGCTCACATTGACATTGAGAATTCGAGTTGAAATCAAAAAGGGTCTGGGAAGAGGCGGGGAACTAAAAAAAACTTAATCGAAAGCCAACAAAAAATGGGCATCCACCCCTGCATCTTAAGCCGGGGGATGTGCGATGTACGAGGCATTGTGTCGTGAGGGAGAGACATGACTTTAACGCTTGACAGGAATGGCGCGTTTTGCATCTTTATAGAGGGCCTGCTCCTGGAGTGACCAATACATTAATACAGTCTGAAGAGCGCCTGCTACTTCATCCACTTCAGATAGCATCCTTGGCATAAGCGGACCACCAACTGTGGTCCCGAACTCCAAGCAAATTGGTTTTGCGTCAAATAGTTATGATGTATGACTTGACCCGCACAGAAGCCACTAGCCACCAGCCACCGACCGCCCCTCGTTCTCCACGGCTATCAGGCAGTCAGCAGTCGCAGCCAGTTGCCGCTTGTCCGAATTTTTTCGTTTTCGTCACGACTCGCAGCCCACAGCCACATCCTCGCTTCCTCGATAGCTTCATCGGCCCACCGTTCCACGATACCGTAGCAGCTCCTCTCGACTTTGTTTACATAACATGGCCATATCACGATGTTCTCTCTGCACGCATGCGGCCTTCCTGGCCAGGCAGCATCCATTGAGCCATGGAGTCACACGCCGGCTTCCCCCGGTTAGCCGGTATAAAAAAATGACAGCGACGCCGTAGTTACTAGTACACCACCCTGCGTATCTGCAATCTGTATGTATCTCGGTTGCGTACATTGTTCTGTGACGCTTGTTTTGCCACTTGGCATCTGCCACCAATGTCCACCTCCATTTCAAGGAGGCTTTGGCAGGGAAGGACTGCCCTCCGATGATAGAAACTTTAAGATGATGCCTTCTATCTGGCCAAGCCAAAGGGATAATTATTAAAAAATAAAAGATGGGATAATGGGAAAAAATAAACAAGCAATATTTTTACTTTATTCAAAACCTTAAAAAGCCCTTCTCCTAGTCATAACCCATTTAAAGCCAATCCTATCCATATTGACTTTTAATTACATTCTTGCCGGTCTAGTTAACCTTCCAATTAGGATTACATTCACTCGACCTGAGTTGCTTTTTGGGCATTGACTTTTCCAGCCAGAGGGATGTTCCCAGCCCCTCGTACCTGCGCACTTTTCACCCGATGCAGTGTTCCGCCCGAGATGACTCCGGCTGTGGTCGCCTTGACGTGCATGGCCACTGAATTTATGACGTACTGCTTCGGCTGTTGTTGTTGCTGTAGTTTGAACAAGAGAGGCACTTGCGGTTTCGCCACTGGATGTGGCAAAGCCGGTGGCTGTGTCTTTGCCACACTGCTAATTGAGTTTTCTGGTAACCGATTTTCACTTTGGCACTCCACTGACGCCTCTGGGGTGGCCTCCACCAGCTGGGTCTCACTGGCGGACATTATTAGGCCTTGTTGCAAATGCTGTTGCAATTTATATCATGTCTGGCGCGGGACACAAAAAAACGCACTGAAAACTAGCCAATCGGATTGGGTCCAGCGGAATAAGAATCGGATACAAATGCGGTCACGTTTGTGCGTCTAGCGGGCTCGACTGTTACTGATTTGCACTTGCAACCTTCAAAAGTGAGCCAGACGTCCTTCGCCTTCACACTTCAAAGGGTGGTTTGCCGTTTAGTTTGATTCCAGCCCGGGGAGTCCCCGGTTAAAGTGCAAAATTTATCTGGCCCTCATCTTTCGGGCAGGCGCAGGGACGGTTCTCCAGAGAGAAACTTTGGAGCGATAGAGAAATGGAGCGAATGCAGGGGTTCGTTAAAGCCGTAATGGTTATTCTGATTTGAATCGCTCTCGATTAGATGCGGACTGGATATCTAAAACACCATCTGATTTAGAATGAAATATTATTTCCCCCTTACCAGCATTATAAAGTCTTTATACTTATAACTATTTTAATATTTCCTTTACTGAGAAGTCATTGAAACTTCTGTTATGTAAGAAGGAAATTCAATACATCCTTATTGGGAGTAGTACAAACATTCAACTAACAGATTTCCCGGATTGCTGGAATCGCGCGACTCCTAAAAAAGATCAAACATGTCAACGTTAGGAAGGCCCACCACTCAAAGTGGCTACGAGGCAGGAAGTGTCCATAAGGTAGGCACTGGACAAGGCCGCGAGCTAAAACTCCATCACATCGCCAGCCACAATGCCGGCGAGAGTGTCAACGAAACAGATAGATTAACCAAAAAGTCCGTGCAAGTCACACAAATGTATGACGATTCCAAACCAAAGAAAAAGTCCGAAGCCGTTCACTATTATTACCAGGAAACCCTTAAAGACCTACAGTACCGCTCCCAGATTAAGGTAACTTAATGGACTAAACAGCGATCAGAAATCAGTGTTCGTTCTAAACCTTCCCACAGGTCATCGAGCAAGTTGCCGGAGAGGAGGTGGACATGACGCCAAAATCGATTCCAAATGACGCCTACGCAGAACAGTTCATCAAGTTCAATCTTAACTTCCTCCATCAGATGGCAAATTTTACCACGATGTCGTCCAAGACTGCCTCGCGATCCCGCACGCGTTCCAGCATGCGAGCGGGTCTGGGTGGTGGAAACAAGCAGTCCATCGACGATCTAATAGGTGGAGTAAGTTTAATTGGGGTCTTGTTATTTTACTATTGTACTACATTGTACTATTTTACAAGGTGCTTTTTAGGTTTACAATTCCACTATACTTTTAAATCTTGTTTATTTTACAAAGCTTCATAACGTCTTTTTCATCTTCTCGTTATTTGGTATATCGATAACAACTCGAACGTTCAAAAGCAGTGTTGGAAAGCTGGCAAAGCTTTCTTGGCGCTTTCAACTTAAATATCGGAAGGGCGCCAAAATTTAAATATAGAGCCCACCGATGCAAAGCTTCAAAGTGATTTAAAAAATGTGGCTTTTATTTCGATTATTAAATACTAATAAGTTAATTTTGGATGATATTTTTGTAGATCATGTACGAAACCATCAACTTTGACCCGTATACCTTCAAGGAAATTCACGCGGAGCTCCGCCTGCCAAAGCCATACACAAAATCCTTTGTTAAAATCACACTACGGAAGTCAGACTTCTTTGAGCTACAGAGCCAGCCCCAGACGACTGTGGCCAAGGGCTCGACGGAGGGCGACGAAGTTGAGCGGGACAATCGCACCTACGAGTACCTAACCGTTGGCAAGGGCAAGATTCGCCGGCGATCGGACAATGATGCCCAGACGGATTGCGTGCTGGTTACGTCACGGGCTGTGAACACTATCCTGCTTACTCAGGAAACCGTCGGCTCGTACGTCTCCAATTTCGAAATGTACGACACGTTGCACAACCTAGTCAAGCCGACCTTCTCTGTGGGGACTGCGGTGACAGATTCGCAGACGCAGCTCGACGTGGAAGATGGTGAGAACCCCGAGGACGAAGAGGCGGTAGTAGAAGATACAAAAATGTCCAACCAGATTGACAAACTGCTGAAGAGTCCAGAGTTCCGCAACGCGATCATGTACATGGGCAGGGCACTTTCGAGCAACACCAACGAAGCCGGGATGCGTCGCTACCGGAACTTTGAGCTTCCTGATCGCTTCTGTCAGGATGTAGAATATGCTTATTCGATGCAATTACTCTTCCGCCTGGTTCCGGAGCCAAGCAAAGACGAGCGCAAGGCCGTCAGCGATATAGACTTTTGCCGCACCAATGGCGATATCCTGGCCGTGGGCTACGGGTTGTATTCGTTCTCCTCGCAACGCGTCCCTACCTCTGGCAGTGTCTTTGTGTGGAGCATCAAGAATCCGGGCGAGCCAGAACGTGCCTACTATTACGACGTCCCGGTGACGGCCATAAGCTTCTCCTCATTCCTACCCTGCTTATTGGCGATTGGACTTTACGACGGGGCCGTAGAGGTGCGGGATGTTAGTAGCTTACAGGACGTGCCGATAGCCATTTCACAGCGAAGCACTTCCCCCGGCTGCTCCCCAGTGGTGGCGATCCGCTGGATCAAACAGGTGGCTGAGGAAGACGAGGAGTGGGACATCGACCCATTCCTTAGCCTTTCTCAGGATGGCTCTGTGACCCGTTTCCGCATCATCAAAAGTCCTTTCCTCCTGGGCTTTACTCAGATGACACTGGAACGCGTCGAGGGCCATTCCGAGGGCATCTATGTGGCGCCGTCCTCCCGCATTCCCTGCGAGTCCAACCGTCACCCCCAAGGCCTAAGCATCACCACCCATCCGCTGCAGAAGGATATTTACTACGTCCTCACCGACGAGGGCTGCATCCACAAGTGCTCTATTAACTACCAGCATCAGTACCTCGAGGTGCTACGCTGCCACGACGGTGGAGTCACAGTAATGGAGTTCTCGCCTTGGTCGCCGAAGATCTTTCTCACCTGTGGCAACGACTGGTTAGTGTCTGCAACGTGGTGGCTTTTGTTTTTTGTTTACCAAACATTTTTTTTAGGTGCGTCCGCATATGGATCGATGGAATAACGCGCCCTCTGCTGGAGCTTCAGGACGAGATGACACCTGTACACTGGGCCAAGTGGAGTCCCACTCACTCGACAATCATTGTTTCCATCAATCGGGAAACCGCTAACATTTGGGACATTCGCCGGAATCTCTTGCGGCCTATGGCTAAGCACAAGATGGACTCTTCTTTCAACACAGTGGCCAGGTGAGTGTTTTAAAGGAGATCCGCTACTCAACCGTTTATTCCTTCTGATCTGTAGGTTCTCCCACTGTGGTCGCTCCTTGGTGATTGGAAACGAGAGGGGCAACACGATCTTCAATGCCCTCGACGACATGCCCTTTTCTCCTCACTTCCAGTACGATGAACTGGAGAAGGCCATGTACAAGGCCATAGGCAATGACCACGAGCTAATCATGGAACTGAAGAGCATAGGATTCTTCGGCTATCCTAATAAGTCGGCTGTGTTTTAGATGAAAAGTGTTCTATTGTTTCTTCTTCGGTTTATCAAATAAAATCCGAAATTCAAGAACTTTCTAAAGTCAGTTTCCGGGGTTAAACATCTAAGCCCCTATGAAAGCTAAGCTATTTCAGAGATCATCTTAAGTGACAGAATATCGGACTAAACGAGGCAGTCTGAAATGATACTGTAATCCAATATGTCTTAGGCATACCCTGACCTCACCTCAAAAGGTAGACCAATGATGGTGGTCTGATCTCGATATAGGGGCAAAGCGGAGAGGCCAGCGGGTGCTAGAGGTAATAAATAAACACTTGATCACACATTAGCATTGCCACACGCCACAATAATCGAACATACAGACCATTTACTAAAAACTATAAAGGGAAAACCTACACAAAAGAAAGAGCATCCCTAAACAATCAGAGACCACCGCACTCCACAGTCATAAATTATTGAAAACATTCTTGGGAAAACAAAAAGAAAAGGTTATAAAAGAACAGAGGCAATCAAAGATATTATATGATAGTTATTATCACGAGATCTTTGGTCTGAATTGGTGGGATAAAATGTCAGATCCGCCGCCAGAAAAGATTGATTCGGACAATGAGATCCCCGTCTGCAGGTCCTCCGAGGTCTGTAGACAAATATTTATGGCATCTTTTCAGGCGATTCCTTTGTGGAAATCCTTTCCTTTCCGCATATATTCCGGAGCTTGAGTTGCCTGTATGTATCGACATGTTCCATGTCCGAAGAGTCTCTATTATAAGTGAGCTAAGCACGATAATCAAATCTAAAGTCCAACCTATACTTACTCAACTTCGGAACAGTCGGAAAAATCGCCGTAGTCGAGGGGTCTCTTGCACAAGCAACACCCTCCCAGAGATTCCGCAAAGCAGTCCTTACAATAGACACCCTTGCAGCCGGGGGTGTTGCAGGGATACCGAGTCAGGCTGAAAGAGAAGGATTCTGATAAGAATGAACCTTAATTGAATGAACTGAATTACACACGAATGAAAGGATCTACCACAAATGGTGCACCCCTTCTCAGTCAGACGATTACAGCAGCCACAGCACCTGGAAAATAAATGTAGCGATAGGATCCACGAAGTCTCTGAAATCTTACCTGAATAGCAGGTTGCGGAGGCTAACGAACCATCTGTAGTGATGGACAACTCCGCGATGGCTGTACCTGTTTCTCGCTCGGCGACGCGCAAACTTGAAAATAGTTTCTAATCAGAAAATGCGGTGGTGTTAGAGGTTAACCAACCAGAGGCCTAGTACCACCCTACCTCTTTTCAAGTAAATTGTTCTGTGCAAGAAGACGGCTCTTTCGCGAGCTCTCTCCGGGTGGAAATATGCCATGATGGGGTGGCGCAGACGCAGAACGTATGGCTCGGCCAGGACAATTATCCAGGAGAGCAGACAAAGTCCTCCTATCTGGTAATACTCCCAGAAGTTGGGCTCGACGGGCAGGGGCAGACACGGATTTGTGTCCACAACAGTTTTCTGAGTGAGTGGACGAAATGCGTTCGCAATGCCCCGCATTATGTCACCCACAAAGCCCCCGCCCTTGATCTCCAGATCGATGTAGGCAGGCACTTCCAGGCCCGCCTCTTGATGGCCGTAATAGGACATCGTGGCTAGCAGCCAGAAGAGACTGTAGTCCAGAAAGCACACGGAGAAGAGCTGCAGGCAGGGAACGACCATAAAGAAGGCGCTTTCAATAAGCGAAAGGAGCTCGAACTTTGTGAGCCACAGACTCGTAAGCTGAAAGTGAAATTTAAGCATTAGGGATAGACATCATCGAAGATATACATAAGAGATGTTCAGACCTTCATGTATGTCATCCGCTCTAGGCGATGCAGCGGATGCAGGGGCTCCGTTCCATGTCTTCGGTTACGCATGTCCACGTCCTCCAAAAGCTGCGTTATGAAGTTATTCTGGAATCCCCGGCTATGCATAAAGCGCACATAAAAGATGAAAGCTCTACAAGATGAAAAGAGACCATTATTCACTCCCTAACTGGAAACAGAGGGTCCTTGCCTACTTAAGGAATACGCTGAATATCATTATCCAGCATAAGATGTCGACAAAGTCAATTAGAAAGACCATTGAGCCAAGGCGCTGGTTGATGTCCTCAACTACCTCCTCGGCCACGTCGGCCAGGCTCTTAGAGGAGTTCGTCTCGAAGGAGAATTCATGATCAAAGGTGATGTTGGCATCAAACATTTGCTCGATCTGCAGTACAAACTCGTTGTAGCCTGCGGAAGAGACAAAAGTCTATTAAGTCAAGTGGTGGCCCGGGAGGTAGAGCCCGCACGGATGAGGATTTGGTCCAGCAAGGTCCAAGTAAAATCCAAATAACCGGTGCAAAATACGTCGATTATCTTTGCCGGATAACAGAGGGCCAAAAAGAGCTTAGTGGCATGGCAGAGTCCCTTGAAGAGACCCAGTTTCTTTTGGCACCGAACCATGGCCCGTTGCGCCGTATTCTTGCAACGTTCCCATGGAGTTCCCATCTCTGCATTACATAGGTCCACCACGGATTTCAACCATGAGGCACAGTTCTTGAGGGTGTCAACTGAAAGGAGGCCAGAAAATATTCTATAAGTAAGCTACCGTGGCGCTGCCTTGTACTAAAGCTTACTAATTACGCTGAGGTGCTCCTGAATGCGCAAGAGTACAACCATAACGGTGTTTAGCACTTTTCGGACCTCCTGCATCATTAGGTTCACCGCCAATTGAACAGCATGCACTGGCTCCATGATCACCTCCATCATCTGGCCGAGGGCCTGACGCAGAAGCTCCTGAGCACAGGCGAGGCTGCGTAGCAGGACCTTTAGATTGGCAATTAGGTTGGCAATGGGTCCGACGGCCAGAATCACGAATGCCACGCTTATGAGGAAGGCTCTTCCCCGGGTGCTGCACAGCGAGGGGATGGACAGAACAAAAATACACCTACGGGAAGGGACATGAGATTATCAGAGCAGATACGCCACCTTATTCCTTCCCACCGCACAACCCGGTTGTAGAACAGTCCGATAACCAGCAGGGAGACCCCCACAATGCTCAGCCACTTCTTTCCTAGGTCCTGCTGCCGCATATAGGGATGCCACCAGTACCAAGATAGCGCCAGAAGTATTCCAATCAGGTATCCAAAAAGCACAATGGGAATAACCCGTCTAAATGTCCACAAATAATTGGACTCGCTCCCTTCCATGCTTTTCGAGGCGGAAATTTCCGTAAGTGATTACCTTTTTGAAAGAATTTACTTCCTAAATTATCTATAATTTTCTTAACTAAGATTTTTTTTACTGTAGCAGTCTTCTTAGGTGACAAGCCGCACGCCATAGTGATTTTCAATCTAACACGAAAAAAATTAAAATACTGGTCACACTAATTGTTGTTTATCGATAAATTCCCGACTAACAACACGCTGAGCTTTATTTGGATTAACCGATCTTATCTATCAGATTTGTAGGGTTGTTGGTTTTTGAAAAAATATCGTATTGATGATATTTGCTGTGAAAAAAATATCAATCGATAATATTCAGAAATATCACCAAAAAAAATCGATATATCGAGTATTTTCGATATTTTTTATAGTCAGCTAAATTTGAAAAAAGGTTATTTTTAAATTTAAAAAAAGGTTTTAATATGTGTTTTCATCCGCCATGAACTGCAAATAAGACATATTTTTTTATTTAAAAAGTGAATTGAAAAAACAACAAATATTTATACCCACTCTCAAGCAACTTTTATTTAAGTTCTTTGAAATAAAAAATAACAAAATTATTAAGGACATTGTATTCAAATTTATTTATAAAAAACAAGAAAGCAAAGCTAACTTCGGGCGGAGCCGAAGTTGATATACCCTTGCAGCTAAAACCGGATATATATCGCAAACATCGGATATAGTTGGCCGATCCTTATGGAATTTGGTAGGTTGGATCAACTGACCAAAAATAGAATCTGTATTAAATTTCAGCTTTCCATCTTCAAAAACACGAAAGTTGGGTCATTTCCGATCGTTCAGCTATATGGCAGCTATAAGATATAGTCGGCCGATCCTTATGAAATTTGGCATGACGTAATGTTTTGCCAAAAATAGCTCTCATGTCAAATTTGAACTCTCTAACTCTAAAAACACCAAAGTTATACCATTTCCGATCAATCAGTTATATGGCAGCTATAGGATGTAGTAGGCCGATCCCGGCGGTTCCGACTTATATACTGCGTGCAAAGGAAAGAAGGGTGTGTGCAAAGTTTCAAGTCGATAGCTTTAAAACTGAGAGACTAGTTTGCGTAGAAACAGACAGACGGACAGACAGAAGGACAGACGGACATGCTCATATCAACTCAGGAGGTGATCCTGATCAAGAATATATATACTTTATAGGGTCGGAGATGTCTCCTTCACTGCGTTGCACACTTTTGGACAAAATTATAATACCCTCTGCAAGGGTATAAAAACTTAATACAAAAAAAAAAATTTTCATGGAATTCATGGAATATGTACTTAATAATGCTAATTACTTAATTCTCTTATTTAATGCTCTTAATTACTCTTAATTACAAAATAAATCTTTCTTCAATGATTTAAAAAAAACTCTTTCGGTTATATGCTGGTCTGTCATTCGACTGCGGGAGTCACAGACAATACATTTAATGGCAGAAGCCAACCGTTCAGATGGAACCGAACTTCCAGGCGTGATAAGAAAACTTAAAGCAACCTTCGCTAGCATCGGCATCGTTGAAATTTGTGAGTTCCAGAATTCCAACGGATTTGTCTCCCAACTACAAAATGGCATACTCAAGTAAACCTGCATTTCCTTTCTTTCGCAACTAATATCGGAGAACACCAACTCAAAAATATTATTATCGACTATTTTTGCCCAAAAAATATCACGATAATAATATTTTTTTAAGAGAAAATATATCGATATATCGATATTTTGATATATTTCCGACATCCCTACAGATTTGTTAGAAATGGAGGACTCCACGAGTACCGGATCAGGAAGATCATCCCCTCAGGGCATTGTGATTCCACCTCTGCACTTGGAGCTGATCGAATACGTCATGGGCTCGACCAAAATGTTTTTCTTCCAAGACCTCAATGCTTGGAGCGAGTGGACCACAAAACTGGAATCTGCCAAGGACCTCTCGGACATTGAGGTGCGCGACATATTTTTGACTCAAGTCTTGCCCAAAGTGAACGCCTATGAACTTCCCAAAACACTCAAAAATCGTCTGGTATTACTGAATATACATCCTCTTCTACGGCGCGTCGCCGATGGGTATGAGATTTCGACGAACAGCGACCTAGCGTCTCGCATCGAACTGGAAGAAGATAAAGACTATATAGCTATTTCCAAGGTACATTTTGACCTTTAGTTTTATCTTTTTTTCTATAATTTTTATTTCCTTATTAAGTTCAAGGAAAACGGATACCCAAGCTCAGCTCCAGCCATTTTGATTGACGACAAGTCGGTGGTGTTCGGTCCTCAAATGGATCCCGAGTTTCTGGCTCTTCTCTCTATGATGGTGTCAACCGATCTGGAGCTATCCATGTGCCAGCTGCACAGTACCGAGGAGATCCACAGCCGTCTACGCCAAGCTAGGCAGAACTTTGAAGATCGTGCCAGATTTGCTCCTTTACGCAACAATCTTGATGAAACATTATATAAATTGGAGGTGTTTAACAAGCTAAGGAAAAATATCTGCTTGGCTATGAACTACCGTAAAAAATACTAAATAGTTTAAGTAAAATGTATCGTATAAGAAATGAAAGAAATTTGACAAAAGTTTACTATGTAAGTGCTGGATATCTATGAAGTGTAATGTGCTTATCTGAAAGACAGAATAAGCTTTTTCATTTCGTACTTTCTATTAATCGTAAAAAATGTAATGAAACAATGTATAAGTTTTCTTAATCCGATTTAATATACATTAATCTAACCTATTGAAGGTTTTCTTATAATTTTGAAAGCTAAATTAAAGTCGAAAATCAGGCTTACATATCCGACACCTAAAATAAAAGTGTTCAATAAATGTATCCAAGTAAAAACGAAACTAACCACCCAAGCCTTACGCTTTAAAACAAATCTTACCATTTATGTTCCTAAAAATGTTCTGTTTTTAAAGAAATCCTGGAAAAGTTTTAACCAGCCTATCACCGCAGTTTTGGCAGTGAGATCCTTCCAAAAACTGTGGAGTTTCGAAAGCAATATCCATAACTCTTTCAATTCACACTCGATCCTGGAGTGGAATACCCTAAACGATTCGTCGAAGGATATCCCAATAATCTGCAACAAAATGTTCGACCAGCCATGCTATTTTCATGCTAGAATCCCTCCTAAACCTGAGGGCTGACATATCCATATACTTGCCTCATTTTTCGAGTTAAACAAAAGCGTATCTTTTTTTCTCGCTCTCTTTTTTTTATTTGAACCAACTCTTTCCATCCTTCCATCCTCTTACAGCTTCTCTACAATTCTGTACCTTACTTTTGAATTAACAAACAGTGCCGAGGTTTTGTTTCTGTCTGAATAATTGATCAACTGTTAAGGACTTTGGTTAGTTATGAGGGAAAATTGAAGTGTAGTATTATTGGTTGTAGGTATCATTATATTGTTTAATATGTATACTATATATATGCAATCTGTATATACGGTCTTATTTAGTAATATACTTGGACTAAATATTTCCCTTAACTAAGAATCGTGATGGTACCTAAACTAAATACAAAAACAACTTCCCTAACGCAATAGGGAGCATTCATTTGTTTGTCAATCCTAGGTCGTATACTCTTGGCTCTCTGGCAAGTGGGGAAATGATCTACTTCCACTAATCAGATTTTCTTTGTTTTTTTTTTTTCAATTTTCATCTAAACTTCTACCGGTTCACTAGGCACTTTGTCTACTTGATAGATTTTCGGTTGGAAACTCCTCGGCTTTATTGCTTTACAAAATACTTGCCAAAATGTCAAAAAAAATTATAATTAAATTTCGGGAAGAATGTGAACAAGCTTAGCAACCTTAAAAAAATGTTTAAAAAAATTGTTGTTTTTAGTTTATATTTTAATCAATCCCTCTTTCAAATATTTGTGTTTAGGTACGGCAGCTCAAAACTATAATTAAAACAGAGTCCTGTTTATCCTCGAAACCTTATCGTCAGAGTGGGTAGTGGGTTATGGTTAAGTATGGTAGGGTTGGGAAATTTCCAGTATGGAGTATGGAGAGTTCTTGAGTTGAAGAAATCTGCCAATTGTTGAACCAAAGGAAACCGAAATAAAAACAAATTTAGTTGAATTTTTGTAGTTTCGGAAAATGTTGTATTTTTGCTTTAATTTTTTTTAATGATCTTTTTAATGATACGTTCATTTAGAATTTTTTTTTTTTATGTTTTGCTCTCTTTTTAATGCATAATATAATATGCAGTGTGAAAATTTGTTGCTTTATGCTCCTCATTCTGTCTACATGCTATTTTTTGTTTTTTAAATATTTATTTTACAGGTGAGAGAATCTATAAGCTCTCCATAATAGGCTCTCCATAATAAATCGTAATTTGCGTTTAATTTAATTAATTGTATACTTATGTAAATGTGTGTTTTTGCATTTTGCAATCTTGCGATAAATTTAACTTACTTAATGTTAACAAAAATAATTTACTTAATTGTTACAAACAGAATTAGTTTATATATATATATTTATACCGACTTCTGAACGCCTACCGCCCCTCTACCATCCGTGGGGGATTGTGGGGGCGGCTAGAGGCGATATGTATATACAAAATGTATTTTTTGCTTTCTTTCAACTTTCGTTAGCTATTTATACTCCTCCGCCACCATCGGCTGGCTCCTAAACACGTAAAGATAGGGGGGTTTTAGGGGGATCTAGTGATCTAGTAGTGGTGGTAGTGATATAGTAGTAGGCGAAACTCAGACGTTTACAGAATTCAACTAATACGCATGAGTTTTAGAAACTTTACCCAGTCTGTCTCTTATGTTTATGGTTTTACAAGCTTTTACAAATACAGTTTACACTTTAAACGTATAAGACGATCACTCTTCTGACCACTGATGGATACTCTTAAATAAAAAAAAAAAATTAAATCAAATTCGGAATTCGCCTTTTAGTTAGGGTTTTGTTTTGTTTTTTTTTTTGCAATTAGAGTAGCTCAAGTCTTATACATTTCTTTATAGGGCAAATTGGAAAACGAAAAAAGAATAACAATCATTTTAATTAGCGTATAGAGCATTAGATTAGAATTAACTAGAAAGAACTAGAGAACTCTACTTCGAGAGAACTCACATCATCTTCCAATCCGTTCGTTTAGGGTTTCTATTGCCGTGCGCATATATATTATATGTGTATATATATATTGTACATAGTTACATAGTTTCATTGTTTACAAAATTTACATTTGGATTACGTGATTTTTGTTTTTTTAGTTTTTTGTTTTTGCCGCTTTTAACACAGAAACACAAACTTAACTCGCTCAGATATATAGAGAATACGTAGAGATAAAGTATATATATTAATGTATATACATCATATATATATATTCATATATAGTTTCCACCCATTTTACTATTGTTTCACAAATTATATAAACTTTTCATCGTTTTATGAAATAAGTGAAGGTCTTAGAAGGTCCAGAATCCTTAATCTGGGTATCTGCTCTTCCGGATCAGATCCTAGTTCGAAATTCATTTAATTTAAATTGTGACTAACTACGCACTAAATACGACTACATCATATACACTAGTACAAGTCTATGTATTTATGTATGTTTCATATAAATATTTAATTTAAGATCAAATTGAATTTACTTAGCCGTTACTAGTTTACTTTAGCATATCGATTAGTTTAGTTTTAGTTTTAGTTTTAGTTTAGTTTTAGTTTTAGTTTAGTATTCTTCGCCTAAGCACAAATGATAAACATAAATTGGGTTCTAATTAGCACTAAAGACACGAACATTAGTTCCGCATTATCACCTACTCCTATGGCTACATATGCTAGTCCTAGTCCTAATCCTACGCATTATTCCAGCGTCATCCTAATCTAATTCCCGGGCTGTATCCTCGTTCTATTCTTTGCACTAAATTTCCACTAAATTAGAATTTAATTTCACGTTGCTACATCTAAGGGGGGTGAGGGGGCACATCCTTAGGCTCACTTGGACGCCGTTTTTTTGCTAGGAGATGTCCCTGTTCTGCTACTGCTGCTGCTGGTGCTGGTTGTCCGGTGGCTACCCGCTGACGTAACTGATGCTGAGGACTTTGACGTGCTAACCGGCGAACTGCGTCGTGCCGTTGGGCTTGAACTGCTTGAAGTGGCCGCCGTGGTGTTGGCGACAGACAGGCTATTGGTGCTACCACTGGAACAGGATGCTGTTGCCGAAGCTGCCGCGGATGTGGAGGAGGAGGTGGTGCTGTTAATGGTACCCTCGCCGTAGGTAAGCTTGCGCATATTTTCAATGGCCTCGGACCAGTGAATGGCATAGCCCTCGGGATCGTCCAGGTAGTAGGTGCGATTTGGCTGCAACGAGGAAGAAATATACAAATTAGTTGGTTGGCACTCGTTTCAGGTCTTCACCCCCACTTCCAGTCTCAGTTCAAGTCTATTTTTTTTATCTCTGTTGCGTGTGCAGTGCTCAATGCCGCTTTTAATTTGTTTTCATCGCCAACACGTGCCGGGGCCATAAAGTGCCCCTCGAATGGCTTTTGTTTTGTGGGCGTGCGACTGAGCTAGCCATGACGTCACCACCGCACAGCACTTTCCTACAATTACCACCATGGGAGACCCCTTAGACACTTACCGTATGGACAAAGAAGATCTTGAAGTTCTTGTACTCGGCCCGCAGCTCTGGGCTCCAGGGTATCTCACCCTTCTTGATCATCGCCACCGGATCTATGTATATGAGCCGGGGCCCAGTGGTCAGCAGGAGCATCCTCTTGCGAGCAAACAGACCCTTCCGCTTGTTTATGTAGCCCTTCTTGAGGATCACCTCGCCGTCGGCAAAGTGATGCCACTTGTCAGTCTTCTGCTGCTCCAGCCGTTGCAGCTTCTCGGCATCGCTTAGGTCAAAGGAGTCTGAGGAGGAAAGGGCTAGGTTAGTTTCAGTACTACACCTCCAAGTCACTATTGCTACTCACTTTTGGCAGTCGATCGCTTGGCGGGCTGGGCCACGCTGCTGCCCACGCCCAGCTCGGCACTGAGCAGTCGCGAGATCTGGCGCTCGTCCAGACCCGGCTCCAGATCCCCAGGCACGCTGTAACTGGAGCGGATGTCCTCGTCCTGGCTGACGCCCGGCAGGTAGGGGTAGATGGGTGGCGGGGTCTCCTGGCGAACCGTCTGCCAGTTGACGCCGGCGAAGAATGGATGAGCCCGGATGCTCTCGTAGTAGCCGAACTCGTCTTGGGCGCCCAGGCGGTCGCGGGGGTCGACCTTGAGCAGCTTGCGGACCAGGTCCTCGGCGTCCTTGTCAAAGCCCTGGGGGAAGTCGACGGCGCAGTCGAGGATCTCCTTGAAGATGATGTAGTCGTTGCTGCCGCGGAACGGTGGCAGCCCGGAGATCATTTGGTAGATGATGCAGCCCAAGGCCCACAGATCGGCCGCCGGCGTGATGGGTCCGTTTTTCAGCACTTCCGGGGAAACGTACTGGGCGGTGCCCACGAAGCTGCTCCTTCTGCTCCTGTGGCGGGCGGAGCGCCTCTGTCCGCGATGCCGCGGCGAATCCATCTCGTTCTGCTGCTCCTCGCCATCAATCTCGTCCAACTCCTCGGAGTCGCGGTCATAATACTCGTCCTCATCATTGTCCGCCCTGTCGATGTCCTCGTCATCCTCGTCGGAGTGCTGCTGACGCCTCTGCTCAGAGCAGTGCTCCGCCGCCTGGTCCCTTTCGTGGGCAGTCATCACCTTGGCCGATCCGAAATCGGCGATGAGAGTGTGCATGTCCTCGTCGAGCAGGATGTTCTCTGGCTTCAGATCGCGATGGACTACGTTGCGGCGGTGCATGTGCTCGCAGGCCAGGAGCAGCTCGGCGGCATAGTGCCGCGTGCAGGCCACATCAAAGGAGCCGACACGGTTAATGTAGGGCAGCAGGTCACCCTTGCGGGCATAGGTCATTACGAAGTAGAGGGATCGCTGGTCCTGGAACGTGCACGATAGGCTCACAAAACCGGGCACGTTGCTCATCATGTGCATGACCTCGCGCTCTCGCTTGATGTACTCCTGCTTCCGCTCCCGCAGGATCAGTCTCTTCTCACATACTTTAACTGCAAAGAGAAGAGAGCAAGGATAAGGGTTAATGAATGCTGATTAAGAGCGAAATGAAAGCAAGCGCTTTAAGAGCTGTGGGAACTGGTTTCCCAGGCCCCTCCTCTTCCGAAACTCATCATAACCGTAGCGATAGGAAGTCAGAGAGAGAGCAAAAGTCTCTCCAAACTGGTTGTCGCACTTCCCTTCCGCCTAAGGGGAGCAACGTGGGGGGCTAACGGTACTGCTGCTGAGCCTAGTTATAACCGCTTATCAGCAGTCCTTACCTCACCCTCTAGTAGCAGTATCATCGGAAAATCACAAAATCTAATAAAAATTCTAAAAATAAACACTAGTCTAGTGTATAGTATCTAGTATATTATTTCCCCACATTGTGTACAGTGTATACACTATCAAAAAAATAAATAAATAAAAAAAAATGAGAGTCTGAAACGTTCCCCTGATCCCCTATCAAGATCAAAACAAACGCCCTGCCAACAACTATTTTGCCTGACAAAGCAAAAAATATATATATACGTGCTCACATATATTTAAAATCGAATTTTAGTCTAAAAAACATTGAGACGATAAGTCGTGGGTCGAGTGGCAACAAAAAACAAACACAAAATGAGGGAAAAACAAAACACGGCAATTAAAAGATTAACAAAAACCGAGCAACCAGCCAGCTAGCCCAGCCAGCCAGCCCAGCGCTCAACAAAACAACAAATTATCGAAAGAAATCTAAAGAAAAAAAAAGCGCGAAAATGCTTTTTTTATGCGTTTTAAATTTCCCCATTTCGATAGAAAAGAGCGCAAAAAGTGCGTAAAAATAAGATTGACCTTCAAAAAGCTGTTGCGCAAAAAAATATAGTCGTAAATAGACAGGTACTAACGTATAAGCTTATATGTATGATTATAGATTGCATTGGAATTGAAATATAGATGAGCGAAGTGGAAAAAGCATGCTTTGCTAGACAAAAGTTGCTTTTTTCTTCTTGTGTTTTAGTTTTTAATAAATTTTTAATTATTTAATTATTAATTGAAGGAAAAAAGCATGCTTTGCTGCCTTGCAATTGTGCTTTTTCCATGTGCTTTGACTTTGATTTAATTTATAATTATTTAGTTAATTTTTTCTGATTTAAGCAAGTGTATAAGTTTGCTTAGCATGAAAAAAAGCATGCTTTTTGGTCTTTCACTTGTTCTTTTTTTTGTGATTCGATTTTTATTTAATGTATATTTATTTAGTTATTGTTTTTTGATTTAGGAACATGTATAATCTATCTTATAGTTATGCTTTAAAATTGGATTTAAACAAAAAAATTTAAACAAAAAAATTCGATTGAAGAAAAGAAGCATGCTTTGTCACCTTGTACTTGTGCTTTTTTCTTGTGGTTTGATTTTTATTAAATTTTTACTGCTTTAATTTAAAGTTTAAACTTTTATACGTGCTTTTATAGAGCATGAAAATTATGAGGTTGAACCAAAAAAGCATGTTTTTCTTTCATGCACCTTTGCTTTTTTCTTGTGCTTTGATTTTTAATTAATTTATAATTGAAAAATTGTTTCTTTCTGATGTAATAAAGTTTCTAAGCTTATATTTATGCTCTAAGTTTGCATTAAAATAAAAAATTGTGAGTTTTTACTAAAAAAAAAAAAGCATGCTTTCCCACATTGCACTTGAGCTTTTTTCCTGTTCTTTAATTTTTAATTAATTTTTACTGATTTAATTTAATGTTTAATCTATTAAATATGCCTATCGACTGCATTAGAATCGTAAATTATACGATTTTATGGAAAAAGCATGCTTTGCCGCCCTGCACTTTGCTTGGTTTGTGCATGTTTGGCCTTTTCCTTGTGCTTTAATTGAAAAAGTCACATTATTTATTCGAGCTGGGGAGCCCCATCCAGCTCCTCAGTCGGATACTTTTTTGTTCGTTTTTTTAGCTTCTATTTGCGGTGTTTTGCGGTTCGGGTTTAATGGCCCCCTGATAAGCATAGCCTTGAACTTGCTGCCGCCAGCCAGCCAGCTGCCGTTTCTGCTTTCTTCTACTTGCAGCTTGTGCTGCAACAACAAAAACAACAAAAACACTCAAACGTAAACACAAACAAACAGCCAGAGCCCAGCCCTGCCCAGCCACCAGCTGCAGATGAGGCACACAATTCGCTGTCTAAGCATAAATATTTGCCAAAAGCTTGCTTGTCAGCTCGAGGTTCCGATTCCCGCCAAAAAAACAGAGAAAAAGCAAAGGTTTCAGGGTAAATTTTCCAACAATATAGAGTCTAGACTGCCTTGAAAGACATTATTCCCCAATTCGAAGCTCAATCAAAACAAAGAAGCTCAAGCTTATAAACAAAACACAGAACACTGACTGCGCTTTGGGGCGACTGGGGCGTGTTGCACGCTCTGGGAAGGCCAGTGGAATGCCATCCAACGGGTTTTAGAATGGCACCAGGCAGAGTGAGAGCCAGAGCCAGAGATCGACAGACTGCAAATTGCAATGGATTGTTGTTGTTGTTGTTGAGCCATAAAACCAGGCAACAAGTCATTTGGCCAACTCGGTAAGTCAAGTCCACACTAAGCTTACATAGCTTACAGAGCTCACAAGCTACAGGTTCTATAAATAAACTTTTATAAGAGATACTTCCAGGCAGGCAGTCAGGAAAAACCAAAGAGATGATGATAATTTTCCTTCTAGAAGATCCAGTTTTAAGAGCAAGGCCATGCTTTTCCGCCTGTGGGGGAGTTTGTAGGCTATTTTTAGAGAGGCAGCCCCGTATGTTTAAATTTCAATTTTCATTAATTGGTCCCATGACGTAACAGGGAGCCAGAAATTAATTAGAATTAGGGTAACCTCCCAGGTAACCCCCATCCAGAGAGAGAGAGAAGAGCCTGTTGGGTACTCTCTTCCCAGATTCCACTTCTGTTGTTTTTTTTATGTGTTGTGCCTGCCCCTCTTTTTTTTTTATTATGGTTGGTTGTAGCCTAGCACCAAGTTTATTGCCCCTTTGGAGCTTGGAACTCGGCGACATGTAGACTGCACGCAAAGGATTTCAACCGCAACTACACTCCATACGAGGTTGTAATAAAAAAAAAAAAGAAACAAAAATGAAACAGATATTGTCCTTTTTGGGTTGTTCTTCCTTATTCCAGCGAGCGACTTCCTGGCGCTACTTAATTTCGGCCATAAAGCCAAAACAGTGTTGGGAGCCCAAAATGTCCTTGGCACGTGCACGGGACGACACCCCCGAAAACCAAGAAAGGCTCGGTTGGTTGAATGACCCAATTCGCCAGCTCGATATCGTGTTGCACAGAGGGGGGCAGGAGCTATTTCGGTTGAATAGCCTCCGCCAGCTGCGACTGCGCAGCAGCTGCTGTCCAAAAATAAATTTTTGTAATTAAAAATAACACGCCAGAAGGAGCTACATAGCTGCTGGCTGGAACAGGGAAAGCAATAACCCCAGTGCCTAGAAACGGGTTCTTTCCTAAGAGTTCAAAGAAGGGCGGGCACTTCCAAAGATACATCTTCAAAGATAAATGTATCTGGAAGATACAAAATGCCAGCCTGCACATTCCTAACATTGCAAGCCATAGCCAACAGCGTGGGTGAAAAAATAAACTCAAAATATTGCCAATTGTTGCCTTGATGGTGGTGAAGATTTCTTGGGAAGATCGACAGCTGCATCTGGCAAGACTATGACGTGCGATAGAGAAGGAAGAACGCTAGCTAACACGTGTTGATGAGAGACCAGGTAGAGGGGCCAGGCAGGCCACAGATGATGAAATAGCCGAAAGGCCTAGAGCGTCGAACAATTTCGTATTTCATAGATGGTAGGCTGGTATGGCGTCAAACAGTCGTCGCTGTCGTCATTGAACAAAAAACGAAAAAAAAAAAAAAAAAACAAAACAAAATAAATAAAAGCAAGGGGGGGGGTCTGGGAGGTGGTGGAACGAAAAACTGCTGTGTTCATCGTGAGAGTGCGTGTGTGAGAGTCCAAGTGTGTGTGTGTGTGTGTGTCTGTGTGGGAGGTGGGTGCGTAGCCTACAGCCAGACAATTGTTGCTTGCTATGAAACGCACATGCTATGACCTTCAAACTGGCCGAGATTTCGCATTAAAGGGATCTCTGAGAGCTCTGTATGAACAGGTGCCACCACCTAGCCACTGATATCGATTGGCTAGAACCTCTCACAAAAAACAACTGTGAAAATCTTAAAAAACAAATTGGCTTAAAAAATAAAAAAACAAATAAACAAGTAGACTAGTAGAGTGGCATTAGAACAGCTGGTTTTCAGGCCCTGTTTACAGACTGGTTTCTTGGCCAATTAATTGAAAAACTTGAAAAAAACAGCTGATCTCCCAGGGTATTAGCTTTCAGCTTCGATTCTTAATCAGCTTGGAGCTCTCTGGGGCGACAACAACGTTATCATCACCCAACACTGATAAGAAACTCGCAACTTTCGAGCAGTCACGTGAGCAACCACTGATTTTTGGCCAGCACTGTCCCACATAGTGACCACATCATCCTAGAATTAAAACTAGAACCGCTTCGAGACAGCTATACATCGTAGTGGCGTCTACGTGGCGACCGCATTCTCGCCATGGCGCCAACCCAGAGGCCATACGAGTGCTGTGGGTGGCACATACACACACACTTACTTGCATATTCGCGCTTGGAGTGAATGTCCACCGCCAGGTACACCATACTGAAGCTACCCTCGCCAATGTATCGTCCAAAGATGAAATCATTTGGTGATCTTCGGGCTGCAGGATTCTGTTGTTGTTGTTGTTGATGTTGTGGAGGCTGTTGTTGTTGTTGTTGCAACATATTCAATATCTGATAGGGTTGCCGACAGCACAAGTTGCTGCACTGCGGCGTTGTGGCCACCGAGGTACTGTTGCTGGCAACTGCCGCCGCCAATGGGGAGGTGTGACCTGGAAGAACACGAGGATATTCCATCGATTAGTATGGACCTCGGAGGAGGAGAATCCTCTAAAGATCACTTACCGTTTGTCATACACTTGTTGCCACTTCCGTAGCGACTGTTGTTGTTATTGTTGCTCTCCGTGGCCGCCGAGGCAGTGCCGCATCCACACACATGCACCGCCGCCGTCGCCACCGGCTGCTGTTGGGTCTGATGCTTGTGATGCTGCAGCCGCTGGGCCGCCATGGTAGTGGTGGCCATCACCACGGCCAGTTCGGTTAGGTTCAGTTCACGATAGTTTGTCTCGCCCAAGGATACTGGTGCTGCTGTGGCCTTCTCCTTGGCCATAGCCGGCATGGTAGCCGCTGTTGGCGCCGTTGCTGCTGTGCTGCTGCCACCAATACTGAGCTGTGGATCGCTGATGATGATGTCGCTGCTGCTGCAACCGCTGCTGCTGGCGGCGACTGAGACAACAGATGCCCCTGCGATGCTGGCCCCGCTGCTTGGTGACGACTGGAGCTGTTGCTGTTGCTGTGCTCCGTTAATCTGCAAAGAGAGAGAGTGAGTAGGGATTAGAATTAAAGAGACTCTTTAAAGAGAACTACAAAAGCCCGCCCTCCATCCGCCAGTGACGTCAAGTTCATTGCCATTCTCCTCGGCTCTCGGGGTTCAAGGACTTAATGGAGTTTAGAATGAAAATAATAATAAAGTTCATTGCCACCTGTTTACGTTGTTTTCTCATTAGAAGCCTATGCTTTTGGACTTGGACTTTGGCTTTGTTTTGTTTTCAACTTTATTCGCATTTTTGCTTTGCTCTTTTGGGCCTCTCGAATACCTCCACAAAATCAGGCTCCAATCAGGTACCACTACCACCACTACCACTACTACCTTCCTCAGACAAAAGCCCATAAAACTAAAATTTAAATAAAAAATCAAAAAGGCCATAAAAACAAGGTGAGCAAATGCGTCAATGAAAGTTTGGCTTTTCAGCTGCCACTAGTCACTACTACTACTATATAGTCTAGGTCTAATTTTAGAGTTTCAAGTTGGGTTTCGAGATCAGACTAGAGGAGGGATTACTAGTAGTAGTTACAGGGGAAGGCCCTAAGGGGCCCGAAGGCCCTAAAACAGGTGTATCTTTTGGATGATGTGCGTCACACACATTGGAATGCGGTTGGTTTACTTTTCAGAGAATGGAAATCAGAGGAGACTCGCTCTCTCTTTCTATCACCCTCTCTCTCTCTATGTTAAGACATGACCTCAGAAAACGATACACCCACCAGCCATTCCAAAAAAAAAAAAACCAAAATTCAAACAAAATAAACATTTGAACTCGGCCGCGGTTGCTTCAAAAAAATAAAAAATAAAAAAAAATATTTAAAAAAAGCTGCCAACCTACTTTATTTTTTTATTTTATTTTTTGGCTAATTAAGCCGCATATCTGCGTCAGTGGTGAGCTTGGGGAGCTGGAACTGGTCAACCAATTGGTGAATGGCAAGTCAGAGTCCCCAAAGAAAAAAAACAGGAAATTCCCCAAAAAAATGTGAGACCATTACATGGGCCAGATCCAAAGCCAAGACCAGGTTCCTACGTCAGTCAGACAGCCCGCCCCTCATTTGCATAAAGTCAGGGAGGGGTAGGGGGGGGGACTGATAATACAATAAGTGAGTGAGTCTAACAATCGGGTGATCGGGTGGTGGTGGAACCATAAAAATGTTGTGGAAAAATTAGAGAATCGAGAAAGTTGCCCCACCTCTACCACCCCAGTGTCTGAAGAGTGTGGGTGGGTGGATGGCTGGCTGGCTAGCGGTCCCCATCCGGATCATATAAGACACAAGATATATACATATATATATGTGTAACACCACCGATCTATAAACTCGACCAAGAACCGCTCGACATCTCTCGTTGGCGGCAGTGGCGTCTAGACGAAAATGACATTTAAATTAATCTATTTTATTGCCAGGCCAACGCCGTTGGACGTTTCTGTTTCGGTTTCTGTTCCTGCCGCAGTCCCCCCCATAAGGGGGATTGATATTTTTAAATGAAAATGCTTGCTCGTCTACAGAATGCAGCCAATTGAAAGCAAAAATGCAGCCGGGGGAGGGGAAAGAGGGGGGATTAGAAAGAAACCAAAAACCCCCAAAAACGTTAAAAATAAAATATTTTAAAGACATTTTTTTTGAAAATTCAACTTTAATTGGAAAATGAATTAGAAAATAGATATTAAAAATTAATAGTACTACTAAAGGGCGTGTCTTGGTCTTGGCCTTTTTTTTTTTAATGCAAAAAATTAATAATAAAAAATTCGCGGAAATTCCCCCATATTTTTAGACAACGCCTTGTTGCCGCCGACTTTTGATTTTTTATTGGACAGGCCGGCCAGTGGATCAGACGATAATAGCCCCCCTATCAGCCACCCCTCCTCTCCCTAGACATGTTTTGAATATTTTAGGCCCCAAGTGGGGTAGCCCCAAGTGGGGTAGTCTTGTACACTACCTGTACAAGAATCGGGGTATTCTCCATTCTCTGCTACTGCTACTCTGCTTCTTTTTCTTAAACTCGAAACCAAAAATTTTGAACTTGGAACTTTAAAGAAGACTATATGACTCGAAAAGCTAGGCCTGCTTTTCCCCAAAAAGCAGGGGGACGTTGGAGGGGTGTTGGAAAATAGTATAAATGCGCCTATGAATGAAATAGAGCTTGTGCGAGTGCAAGGGGGAGGGCGAAGGGCGAAGGCAATGGCAATGCAGTTCCATGGCCCACTTCGCTCCTACTCGTTCTCCCAACCGACAACCGACAGCCCACAACAACATCCCCATCCCCCTCCCACTTACGTTTTCACGATGGGGCATCGACTGTTACAACACTATGATGTGCTCTCTTAGCTTCGCTCTCCGAGTGCGTAGCGTGAGAGAGATAGATGGCTGTGTATGTTGTAATTGCGATTCAGGGTACAAATTCCAATGGGCATACGCAGCAAGAGGAAGAGCGCCAACACAATACACACACATATGACATACGACATACGACGACACACAACCACAACAACAAAGCGCGCGCGTATTTCTCGGATCTCGGATCTCTGTTTCAATTTATTTGGCCACTTTGATTTTCCACACTCTTGCTTTTGATTTTAGCTTCTGCCTCCTCTTCTTTAGAGCTTGCACAGATAAATTTTGAGTAATAATCGCGTTTATATGTTTGTCGCAGCATTCGACCGGAATTTGCCCGAAAAAACAACAACAACAGTAGCAAAAGCAATGGCGAATTGTAGGCGACGCAGTAGGAAAATTTTTGCAGAAAGAGACGACACGAGATAATGTTGTGTTTTGGGGCTTATGTTATTGTTGCGTAGGTGTTGTATAGCTGTGTATATAGCTGGCACCTCGACAATAAACGGTAAACAAGGATATTTCGCTAATTAATTGAACTAATGAAAACAATCGGGCGTACATATGAACACAGCACGTTGTGGCAGAAATGGCAGAAATTCGGTTCTGTTTTGGTTTCTTTTTATTTTTCTACTTTATGTAATTTGTTTGGCCTTTCGCGGAGTATTATTTAATCGCACCAACACACAACTGCACACATATATCGATATATATATATATATATGTATATACGAATTTACAGATACAGAGATACAGATACACTCGATTTCAAATGTTTCTTCTGTTCGAGCACTCAGTTCGCTCCGAACTGCCGCGCAACGCTGCCGTTGGATTTTCTAATTGGAGCCAGGGTTGTCATTACAGCTGGATACTGCTGTTAGCATAGAATTCTAGTTGCTCTCTTTCTCTCTGAAGAATTAGTGGCAATACTAATAGTTTAGGCGAGATTAACTAATTAATCGGCCTAAGTCATGAGATTAATAGGGGTGGCTTGTTTTAGTTTTAGTTATGGTATTTATTTATTATTTTACTAATTTTTAAGTAAATAATATAACCTTTTTAGTGAACATTGTCACCTTGTGTATGTTTTCGTTCTCCCATAATCACCCTGTGCTCTCTGCTAACTAACAGTTGTCTTCGCTCTTTTCAACATAATGTTATCTAGTTAATGTTATGTTAACTAACTAAAAAAAATAGTTCGGGAGCGGGCCAAGGACACTTAATAAAAGGTATTAATTTTTATACAAATAATTTTATTTAATTATACAAAAATTAGGCTCTATTGTAACTAAAATAATGTTTAAAAAAACGAACAAATTTCAATCCAGAAAATCAGCCTCTGAGCAAAGAGAGCGCTTGTGAATCGTAAGAGCGACCGCATTCCTAACTGTAAACAAGCAAGAAGCAGAGCAAAATAGCGAGCAAGAGAGACGGCACAAGAGTGACAAGAGCGAGAAGGTAGAAGAATGCGGCGCTGCTGGAAAAACTCGTTTTTCCTGCTGGAAAATGTGGAGAAAAAGAATTTAAGGAATTTTCGCGCCCCTAAGAGAGCCGAATAAAAATAAACCTACCTAGTGGGAATAACACACAAAAATTGGGGAAGAAAACGAATACACACACAAAAACAGGGAAGTGGAAAATGGTGGAAAAACAGAGCGGACAAAACAAAATGCGTAAAAAATGAGGTGGCTTGGTGGGGTGGGAGGTGGAGGCGCCCTCAAGGAAAACTGAATTGGAACAAGAGGTGGGTGATGGAGAGGGGAGGGCGAGGTTGGATCAACCGAAACGCAAGACAGAGACGGAACAACAACTATGGAGGAGACGTACGTATAGTAAACAAAAGCAAAAACAATAACAATCCGAGCAACAGACATGCAAGTGAAAGGCGTCTGCGTTTTCCCTCGCTCTTGTCTTTATTTTTTCGCAAAAACAATAACAAAAACAAGAAAAATATGGAAAATATGGAGAAGCGATTGCATAAAATTCAATAAATAATTAAACAGAGAGACTCAGAAAAAGGGGAGAGGTTCTTCCAGAAAAAGACAAAAACAGATCCGCCCCTCGAATATTTTTTTTTTTTTTTTTAAATTTTTGAAAATACTTTAGTTTATTTACCTTGATGGACTTTAGTTTCCGGACGACAAAGTTATTGAGTTTATTGGACCAACTTTTACATTTCATGGGTAGGCCGGGCTCCTCCGCTCCGTGGGAGGGAGGCTCTGCTGCTCTGAAGATGGGAAGACGGTGAAAAACAACGGTAAACTGAATGTTTTTGTCAGCCGCTATCCTCCACTCATCTCTCGCATTGGCTCGCTTTCTCACTTGAGATTTTGTTTCTTTTCTTTTCTTTCGACTAATTATCGCTCTGTTTGTTTCTTTCCACGCTTCACTTGTGGTTTCACTTTAACGACAATTAACAATTTATGCAATTTTTTATATATTTTTATTTTCTTGCAGTTACAGTTAGTACGCACACGCACCAGTCACAAAACACTAATAAACACAGTCTGATATTATTCTTTTCCCGATTTTTACTTCCGAGATCCGGGTTCTATATTTTCGGATTAAGGATTTGTTATGTGTGTGAAAAACACAAAAATTCGACAGATTCCGAGCCGAGCTCTAAGAAAACTTTTCAATCATCCGCTCCGCAACCGCGCAGCTTGATAGAAATTTTACGAATGAGAAGTGACAGAGCTCAGTACGAAATGGAACAAAACAATCAATGCGTTCCACCCTCCACAATCCACAGTCGAGTGAGAGCCGAGTGAAACGGAACACGAAAGAGAGCGCGCGCTAATGGAATGAATTTTTGAGCAGCATTTCAATGCATATTTGGTTTTTATTTATTTTTAGCATATTTTATCGAGTTTAGGTGGAGCATTTTTTTTTTTTTTTAGAGCACACTGCTGCAACAGGCACATTGGCCGAATTGATTAGTGGACTTCAAGTGGAAAGACAGTTATGCGATTGCTTTGATGGCGATTTGCAAGTCATGGTTCCGTTATTGCCTCGATTTGAATGCGACTCCCATCAATTATTTATGAGTAAGTGACGCACTTGTTTTTTGCTCTTTCCCCAACTGGCAGTAGAACTTTGCATTCCCCGCATCTTGCATTTGTGATTTTTGGCGCGGATCTGGTGTTCAAAGTCCGCGCCCCCGTTTTACAAGATACACACATTTCGAGTTGAAAGTGAACGGGCCGAGCATGTATGTATGTAGGGCTCTTCTGCAATGCATTGCTGGAATTTGAAATATTTGCAGCCCCTGCCTCTTGACCCGTCACCTCGCAGCTGATCGTTCACTGATCTGCACTCTTAAATCCGCTCACAACACCTTCCACATGCAACTCAACTGAGATCGTTCCTCTCGCGTGTTTCACTTCCATTGTTCCTTGTTTTGGTTTCGACTTTGCGTCCGCGCACCTCTTTCGTGGTGTGTGTGTGTGTGTGTAAACGAGTGGAAATTCACTTGTCTGCGGCGACGCAGTTTCGTCATCATGTTTTTCCCCGATTTCGCTCTATCTCTGTTCCGCTTTGCGGTTCTTTGTTTTTATTTAGTTCGGCTCCGCTATACCCTCTCAAGGAGGAGAAGATAAGCTTCCTTGGAAAAAGATACACAATCTCAAAATGGGTATCTTCAAGATGTATCTTAAACTGATCCTAAATCAATAACCCACTCCCAAGACTAGATCTAATATTTGCTTAAAATTTCGCATTTCTGGCTATTTTTGGCTAATTTGTTAATGAGCAAATCCCGCATTTTGCTCTCAGCTGGAAATTATTTTGTGAATTAGCATTTTTAATGGGCGGCAAGCAAAAGTTCGGCGAGACACAATGTCGCCTCAGATCAGATAGCCAGGGGAGGGAGTAGTATCTTTAAAATCCACTCGCCCATTAGCATAGACATTATTTTAGTGGCGAACGCTTTGCATAAAAACTTCATTTCTCAAAAAATCTGGCCGAGATCGAACCGCAAAGTGCGGCGTGTGTTTGATTTTTGTTTTGAGTTGCCGTTGCGGTTGCCCAGTAGGTTTCGAGGCATTCCTCAGCGAAGATCAAAATGCCGAATAAATACTGAACTAAACTTACTCTTTCCTCTGCCTTCCCTATAACTTTTTCTTTATACACTCGAAGAAAAATTTAATAAAACTTACTGAATCTTACTAACAGACAAGACAGACACTAAAAAGTGTGTCTAAGATACATATCTTAAATAAATATACAGAATATTTTTCAAAATAGATCATAATTTGATATAAAAAGGTTCTTAACTCGGCTAAGGCGTTGATTTTTTTCAGGAAACTATCCATAACTCGGTGAATACTTGGCAGATCCAGGAATGTTATACCTTCCCGATCTTAGATCTTCAAGTACTTTAAATTTTCATAAAAATCTAGCCATACAATTTTTTATAAATTTTTCGAAATTTTTTATAGGGGTACCATCATAATTTTGGACAAAAATTGAGACAAAATTTTAATTTTTGAATTTTTCAATCTTTAGATGCAGATCGAAGGGGATTGGTTCCCTGATTCATTAATGGTCTTCTGTTTAAGAATCGGTTCAGAAATAGTGAAAATAATGCCATAAATGTGAATGAAAAACTTTCAATTCTGGAAAAAAAACCTAGTATCAGATTTTTGTATTTTCCTGATGAAAAAATGTATATAACTCGGCTAATATTTGTCAGATCCAGAAATGTTGTATCTTTCCTGTCTCAGGATTCTAAGTACCATTTTTCTCAATCAAAACCTGGCTATAAAATTTTTGATCAATTTTTCATCATTTTTGAAAGGGGTACCCTCATAATTTTTTACCAAAAAATTACATTATTTTTTTTAGTCCGTTTTTTCAAATCCTGGGATGCAGTTAGAGGAGGAAGAGATCACTGATTTTAAAATGTTATTCGGTTTCCAAATATTTTGCAAAATAGTTAAGATATGAATTAAAAAGTGTGTCAAAACCTTTGATTTTTTTACAAAAAAAATATCAAAACTTTATTGTAATTTTTAAATTTTCTTGATAGAAAAATAGGTATAACTTTTCTAATAATTTTCAGAACCAGAAATGTTATACCTTTCCGATCTTAGAACTCTTAGTACCATCATTTTCAATCAATACAGGGTAACCTAATTCATGACAAATTTATCCTCATTTTTCAAAGGGGTACCATTTGAATTTTGGTGAAAAATCGATCCAATTTTTAGACCTTTTATTTAAGAGGGTTAAAGCCGTGATTTGCAAATGAAATTTTTTTTTTAAATCGGAATTAAAGGAGCATAAGTTATGGACTGAAAAGTATCTGAAAAAGCTCTCATTTTGGCCAATTTCCATCAACATGGTCTTAAGCCTATATTTCGTTTAGATAATGCTCTTGTGGAGCCTCTATGCCTCTCTTTATTCACCTGTTCGACAAGGTCTCGCTTAATTGCTGGTCTTCCCCAGGCTCCCCTGCCTCTCCTCACCACCATACAGGCTTGGGACCCCTCCGGAGTCTGTAGCCCTCATTTAATTGTCACTATCTTTAGCCATTAATAAAGTCGACAGAAGCCGACTCGAGCCGGTAATCGGAGTCCCAGGGTTACACATCAATGGACCCGAACGTCCATTCTCAACATATTTTGGTTTATTAGAAAGCGTAGGTTCCGTAGGGCAACACAACTGGTTCTAAATAACCGAAAAATAAACATACATAGTTTGAGGGAATCTATTCCCAAATGTTTAATTAAGAAAAGCAAAGCAATGCTGAAAGTTAGGATTTAGTAGTTTTTAGCTTTAAACTTTATAAACGGAATGATATTAGAGAGTAGTAAGCCTCTAACTATCTGTATTTTCTCTATTTCTCTTTATATATGTATGTAAATTATCTAACTACCTAAAATTATAAAACCAGTATTTTAATTATGTAATTCAATCTGGAAAACAATTGAATTTGTAATACTATTATAGAATTTTTTATTAATTCCCACGAAACCATTCCCAGTTCAAAACAAAAAGCTCTATTTATTCCCCTTTTGAATTCTGATCGAGTTCGATTATAAATTAATGCACCTGTCGAACAGAAACAATTGAATTAAAAGCCGTAATGTAATTAACACCCTGGCCGACTGCCACACACGATAAACAAAATACAAACAATGGTCAGGAAAGGGGGCTTTCCGAACCTGGAGCGTGCACCTTCGCAGATTGCGCATACGCCGTGTATGGCAGGCGGCTGGCGGCGGGCGCCAGGCGGCGTGAAAATGAAATTGGCGCCAAACGAATTCGCAACGGTCAATTAGAAGAAGGAGCAGGCACATGGCAAGAACACACTTCCCCCTAACGGTGTGTTAATAAATTCTAAACGCTTGTTTTTTTATGTTCTTCCCTCGTGGCGCGTCGGTAGTGCCAGTTCGGGGGCAGTTGCAGGGCGACTGCAGCTCAAAACCATAAATAATGCCTATGTGGCGCCTCTACGGCGATTGCCCCCGCCCTTCTGGGGAGGGGGTGTGTGTGTGTGCTTAGCTCACAAGCCGTTCCCACGTTCCCAATTCACGTGCAACACGACAAGTGCGACGTATCTTCAATGGGGCACCCTTCTCCGGCAGGGGAGTCTTCTTTTCTTAGAGAAGAGGGGTGGATAAAGTTAGCAATATAATAGACTTAAATCAGATATAGGGTATTTAAAGTGCGGCTTCCACCAATGGCTGCATGAATATGTTTTCCAATTGCGTCGCAATTTTCCAAGGGGGGTCACTTAGACCTTCGCCATTTCCGATACCGACAGGGTTGCAGAACTACTATCTGAGACCTAACCCAGTTCATCAAGGTTTCTACAAATATTTTTCGGCTTTAATTGCTCTGCTAGGTTGGCCAGCTTCGTCCTTTAGTCAGGATGTGTGCAGCCCTGGCCCGCCTTCCGCCTGCATGCATACTGCGCAGAAACGAATTCAAGTTCAGCGCCGGCCAGCAGACTCGGAAAATGCCAGAAAAACCAAAGTGGCAGACAACAACATGTGACCTTTTGGCGATGTGGCAGTGTGCGGAATGTTCTAGGCCTCACCTTTGACCTTTCCACCTACTACTCGTACTAGAGGGCCTGCACTCACCTTTCTCATAGCCGCCCACCGAAGCGACTGGCAGGTGCAGACAGCTTTCACGCTCTGGAATCAAATGCAAAAGAAGTTTCCTTTTTCTAGGCTTCAGATTCAGATTCAGTTTCAATTTCAATTTTCATATTCAGTTTCAGTTACAGTTTCGTATTCGGTTTCGGTTTCTTTCGCGGATTTGTATTCTAATTTTGTCTCAGGTTCAGGTTGTTTCAGGTTCAACAGAAAGCGACGTCTGACCGACGACTGAACTGCAGCTGCCCTGCCGGCAGTGCTTAAATACCCACCCCACTGCACCCCAGCACCGCAGCCCCACATCAACATTGAGAACTGAAACCGAAACCGAAACAAATCCAGAGGAGATCGGAGCCGGAGAAGCTGGAACTAAATGACGGCGACACCTCCAAGGCTCCGAGGGCATCGGGTGCTAATGATATGCCAACGGCATAGTGCCCACGTGGGCGACTCCCTCCCCCCGAGTAGGGAGGACTCCAAGTAGAAAGTTCATCAAAACTAGTAGTCACTTGCCTGTCATGTCATTTATTTTATCTAATTTTTATTAAAGTATGTGTGGTGTCATCTCCATGGCCA